GTAGAGTATCTGTTGATATGAAAGTATTAAGCAAAAGTTGAGGAAATTTTTATTAGTTGTAGTTCATCTACCAGTCGAGATTTAGTACTATTGTTAACAAAGTTTTGTGATTTTCAACGGGCTAGATTAAAAATGATCTCTTTTATTGTGTAATCATGTTCGTAATATATAAATAATTATAATAAATTTAATACTCGAAAGATGATGAACAAGAACATGTTTTCATCTTGAAAGTAATTAGATCCTATCATCTTTTTTGTTGAGACACTCAGTACGTTTTTCGATCTCAATGACTTCTTCAGTTCGACAAAATTAATGAAAGCTTCAATAGTAAAATTATCAAGAGCAATTTCATGACATGTATAGAGTACCTGCTAAATATGTATTTTACAAAATCATGACATCAAAAAATATTCCTTTTGTTAAATAATAGTGTTGGTAGCATATTATTAATAATAAAAGATCTATTACTGAGTCTTAGTGGCTTTCTATTTTTTTCTTCAAGTTCATATAACTTCATAGTTTGGATTAAGTTGTGTGAACATATATTGCAATGAAACTTTAAAATGAGATGCCTTAAAGGTTTTAATAATCTTCTTTCGGTATAAGGGGCTCTGGCGAAAGATAAATGTTCAAAGATAAACTATTAAAGAGAAGGAAGGAGGGCCGAAAAGGATCAAGTGAATAGGCATAAGCGGCGCATAATAGGAAACGTTTTGAAAATCGGTTAAGGTAGAGTCTCGATTAAAATAGAGGCTAGAAAATTACTTAAAATAGAGCTCAAGCGGCTTGACCGAGAGCTATACTTGAGCGAGAGCTCAAGCAGCGCAGAATAGCTTAAGGATTGAGAATCTTTTGAAGTAAGACAGAAGTAAAAGAGACACAGCAGATGCTAAAACTTATTCTTATAAAGATCCACTAAAAAAGACAAAATATCTTTGAAGATGCACTGTAAAAAGACTATAAGTCAAATGAACTTCTGAGATAAAATAATGTCAAACGATGCTCACAAGGAAAAATGCAGATTATATCGAGAAAACTATTACACAAAATGCTTACGTATTTAGACAACGGAGTATGTTTTGACAGAAATAATTCTTAATCAGTGATTGGGACTTCGCCAAGTATAGATCTACTTAAGTTCACGTTGATTATGACTCCAGCTATCACAATAGTTTTGTCCACACTGGTACATTGAATCCTAATATGTCAAAATTTTTCTGTATTGTCAATTTTGCACTCTGACTAAAAGTAAACGAATCCCATAAGAAGAATCAAGTTCTAATCTCAAATGTAATGTAGTGTAAAAAGCGTAATGTGTTGTAAGGTAAAAAGTGACATATTTGCATTTTAACATAGTCTTCATACGTTTTATATCAAGCTTATATACAAAAATAAACTAGACAGTTCTTTTTGAGCTGAATATTTAGTATCTGAGACGTCTATATTTTTATATAAGTGACTTTTCCATATTTTAAAGACAGCATAACCAACTTCAACTCATAACATATCCCAAAAATGTGAATTTTCCGATTTTCCCCCATGTAAATGCATTTACAATGTAAATTGTAACAGTTAGAACTATTATGGATAAGCCAATATGGCTAAAAATTAAAAGTAGATAACAAAATATGTCACTAAACGATTATTTTTGTGTAAATATAGATATATTGTGATGTGTTGTAAAATTGAGTCATCTTAACCTGTATTAAATGTTCTATTGAGCAAATAGTAAGGTGATTCGCGTGTCAATGGTAGTATACAATCTTGTTTTATTCCGATAAACCAACTAAGTCACTATACAGTTTACCAAATATCGTTAAATACAAATCTAGTGCTGGAAAATTGATAAAATAGATATTTCTTTTGCTGATAAGTAAAATACCAAGAGTGAACGAAGAACATGTGGATGAATCCAGTGGAATATCTTTACGCGAATGAAAAGGATCAATCAAAGATGTAAAATTGCAATTGACATACCATTCACCGGTTACACGGGACTAAATATTGTCTTTTATAACTAAAAACTTTGAAAATCATTATAAAAAATCGTTTGGATTGGTTTATTGAACACAATTCAATAAGTAAAATTAATCAGGTTTCAAAAAAGGTAGAGGGACATAAGATGATTTAGCTCTTTTACACCGTACGATTTTAGAAGCCTTTAAATCTTCTCAAACGGTATTAGCCATTTTTCTAGATATTAAATCAGCCTATGACAATGTAGAAATATACAACATTTATAATAAACTCATAAATCTAAACATCCCCATGGCTCTAAACAATATTATCCTTAAAATCCTACAAAACAGACTCTTATATTCGAGATCTGATGACATCAATTGGGACCATATCAAACTTCCAAGGAGCTCCCTCAAGGTTCTACTTTAAGCACCATTATTTTTAATATATAAATTCATGACCTTTTCTACTTATTCTCTAACGAAGTGAAAATATGTAAGTATGCAGATGTATTTAGTTTTGTACATTAGCGGTCAAAACATTCATAATATGGTAAATAAGATCATCCCAGAAATTTCAAACATTCAAAATTGGCTACAAACTCATGGGCTGTCTATTTCTATTGATAAATGTGAAGGGGTGTGGTTCACAAAAGGACGACGCAAAACAAACCTTCGTTAATCTCTCTTAATAATAACATTCCCATTAAAAACAGGTTAAATTTTTGGGCATCACCTTTCATAAAAACTTGAAATGGGATCCTCACATTGATAAAATTGTAAAGCAAAGAAAAACATCAACATATCGAGAGCATTATGTGGAGTTTGGTGGGTTGCAGATCCTAAAACCCTAATTATGATCTTTAATGTTTTAATTAAGTCTCATATGGATTACGGTTCCTTTTTATTCAGCCCATTAACGCAGAAATGCAGCTATATCCTAAATAAAGTATTTTTCGAAGGGCTCAGAATCTGCCTGGAGTGAATGAAGTCCACTCCGCGCATAGCAATCTTAGCTGAATCTGCTCAGATTGACCTGGAACACAAAAGCCTAATACTAGCCGCTAAACTTATATCTAAAATTATTAAAATCAATAGTTATCCATTAATAGTGACACTTCTTAATATACGTACAAAAATCACAAATAAACCAATTTTCCATAAGACAAACCTCGTACCTCTTCTTGTTACGGTTCTTGAACATTTTCTCCCTTATCAAAATAAAATACATAACACCCAAACTTTCCTTGTTATGACTTTAACACACTAATCAACCCAATACAGACTTTAAACTGTAATATTAAGAAAAATAAATCATCAACCAAATAAAAACTCTCAATAATCACCCAAAAACAGAATAGGGACTTCTCCTTTGAATATACTGGCGCCTCAAAAAATAAGGGAAGAATAGGATTTGGAATCAATATTCCCAATATTAACTTCAAATTTCCTTCTAGGCTTCCTGGTGAGATATCTGTAACAAAATCCAAAAATGTGGCAATTTACCAACCAATTTTAATTTTAATATCTAAAGGCATCAAGAAGGCTGTTGTCTTGTCTGAACAAAAAATCTCATCTCATCGGCAATTAAGAAGGATTTTGACATTTGAATCTCGTGGATTCTAGGTCATTCTGGTATTCTTGGTAATGTAGAAGATGACTTGCTAGCCAAAATAGGAACAAACTTCCCTTAGCTATGTTAAGCTAAGGGAATATTCCCTTATCTATGTTATTAGATTTCCAAGATATTTTAAACACCATAAAGGAAAAAATTATTGATAAATTCCAATATACGAGAATCCAAACCTCTTTCTCCTTTAAGGCATGGTTCTCAATTCAACATTTAAAAACACAAGACATATGTATCACCACAATAATAAGAATGAGAACAGGTTATTGCTTAACTAAACATCTTTTTAAAATTAAAATAATAGACAGTCCGGCATGTGAATGCGGAGCAGTGGAGGATTTAAACCACATTTTCTTTGAATGCCCCATTAATATTATTCCTAACATGGATTTATATTCAATGTTTATTTCAATGAAATTCCAAACACCAATCTCAATAGACACAATCTTAATATTCCCTAATGAAAAGTCAGTCAGTGAAATCTTACAGTTTCTCGACTATAATAAAATTAATTTGTAATTTACGATGCTCAACTTTAATTCAATGTTTTTGCCTATTAGTTTCTCCTTTGTGGCGTTCTGTTTATTGTGTAATATGTAACCGGTGTAACCCTTCCATTACCATTTGTTTACAATATGTGTTTATAACTACCTAACCTCAAATAACCTAACCAAAAGTTCAGAAAAAACTACTACCACCTTACGCAAATGTCAACGGCCCTAATATGGTTTAGAACCAGTTACATCACGGTCGTCCGCAAATAGTGCTGGGCAAAGCCATAAAAACAGAAGAAAGAAAGTTACCAGGACCAAATGTGAAAAATGTCCAATAATATCCAAAACTGTGATAAATTTGTAATGTTCCACTAAATTACCAAGGTTCTATATCGGTTGTAAAAGTTATCTGAAAAAATGTAACGGTGAGATCAAGTCTCCCTCGTCTCGCCTACTTATCTTCCGTTTTTTAATGATGAAAACCCAAATGACACAATAAGAGAGTTATTGCTTAATACAAACTAGACGACCAGATTAATATATATATATATATATATATATATATATATATATATATATATATATATATATATATTTATATATATATATATATATATATATATATAATCAATAACCCTTCTACCCTAAGGTGTTGGGTCGACCAGATTAATGCACAAAATAAATAATTTATAAAAATATAAACGATCTGGGTGCGGCGATAAAACGAATCACCCAAAAATTAGTTAATTGTATAACTACCAAAACAAGGACATAATAAAATCAAAACTATGAAACAAATAAATAAATACATACATAATGTTCAAATATTCATATCCAACAACAAAATATTTTTTAAATCACCAAATTCAACAACTTTTGGGATACATTACAAGTACCGAACAACCACATTTTTGTTTATTCTATTACCAGTTTTTTCTCTTCCGGTTTTTCTACATATTTGTATTTTTGTTCTTCGAACATGGCGATCAGGTGTTTCGTGAATTTTTCGTGGTACTCTTCTATGTCTTCTATTGTTACATTGTCGAGTTTAGGAACGTCCATGGGCTCGCCGACTAAAACAGAAAAAAAATATGTAAATTTAATACTCGTTTCTAAGAATGTCAATTAAATTTTTGAACTTGGAATATTTTGTTTTAATTGGCATAGGGAATATTTTCTAAACAAAAGAAGGAAGATTGTCTAAACTAAATTTCAATAAGCGATGCAGTGGACGTAAACGTGTAAGCCTCTAATAGGACCGCATTTACGATTATATTTTCGTTTGGCCAGAAGTATTATCTTGTAAAATACGAAATTTATATTTTAAATTTGCAAAAATGCGAGACAAAAAACCTGATTGTTTTTAGTTGATATCCAACAATAGGAACCATTTATACAACCATTTATTCAGGACAAAAAAAACCAAGAAATTATATTATGTCAAAAACGGCCAAAAAATTTTATATACAGGGTATTCTCAAAAAATATGAGTTTTATTTATAATTTTAGACTATTTTCTCTCAAACAACAAAGGAATATTTGAAGATCTCAGAACAATAAACAATGTAACAACAGGTATTGACCATCGTATAGTTAGAGCAAAAATAAATATTAACATGATGAAAGAATAGAGAAAAAGGATTTTAAATAAAAACAACAGAGATAGATGCCTTTAAACTAAGAACAAATGAAGAGCAATTCCGACAGGTCTTAGCAGATAAGTTCGAATCTGATCATTCACATAATCAAGATCAAATTGACGAGATTAATAAAAACATAAATAAAAACCTTCTCGCAGTCGGACTACAGGTCGCAAAGAAAACAAGGACTAAAGAAGACAAACTACTAGCGCAACATAAACGCTATACTCAAGAACACAGAGAACTTAATAGAACAATTAGAAAATAACTAAAACGCGACATACATAAATGGAACGAGAACAGAGCTAGTCACTGAAAACAACAGAGGCTTAAAAAGTCTCAAGACCCGCACTGGGAGTTCAAAAAATCATCAAAATAAAAGAAGCCAACAATAAGGAAGAGAAGGACAAATATAAAATAACAAATATTGTCAAAGACTTCTACACATCCTTGTACATCTCGCAAAGCCAGCCTAATGAAACAACAAAGGAAAACGGTAAATGAAAAACAAAAACGTGGGATCAGAAGTACTACCAAATATAAAAGGATTCGAAATAGAAAGAGCTTTAAAAGAGCTAAAAATAATAAAGCTCCAGGACACGACGGTATAATTGCCGAGCTCTTGAAAACAAGCAAGCAAGCAAACTGTACTAACAGACCTATTTAATAGATGTCTCCATAATAGCAAAATCCCTAAAGACTGGAACGAGAGTCTAGTTCCAGTTCCAAATACTCTTACACAAAAAAGGGGACAAATGTGATCTGCAGAATTACAGACCTATATCGTTGCTCAGTCAAGTATACAAACTATTTATGAGAATTATTAATAACCGGTTGACCTACAAAATGGACAATTACCAACCGATTGAACAGGCTGGCTTCCGCAAAGGATATAGTACATCAGACCATCTGCTGACAATGAGAACATTGATAGAGAAGGCAAATGAATACCAACTACCCGTATATCATGCCTTCGTCGACTATGAAAAGGCGTTTAATACTTTTCTGGACTATAATACTTTTTAAGCCATTTAAAACCATTTTTTTGTACGGCATTTTGTTTTTGTTGGTAATTGATATCAAACAAAATATATCAATGCCGTACAAAAATTTTTGGGGGTTAAAATCAAGGGTTGCGCTCTAGATTTCTCACCCCTGTACCATATCCACGGCACTGCAAAAAAAGTAATCTAAATAATAATAATAAATAATCTGAAGCTATATGTATGAATGCCGTACGTACTATATCAAATTGCCTAAAATAGGGTCATTTTTTCGAATTTGACCGTAAATGTCGTAGTTACAAATGTTTTACCAAAATGCTGTTTATTTGACCATTTAATTATTGGCTTCTAATAGACTATGAAGAAAAATGCTAAATAAATCACCTGAGTAAAATCACGTATACAAAAACCGCCTACCCGTACATTTAATTGATAGATTTCGTATAAATTTAATATCCAAAATAGACAGTACTTACTCCGCTTGAAAAAACCTTGATTTTAAAGTAAATTGCAAATGTACAGTAACAGAAAATCATGTGATATCTATTGAAAATTGAAAAATTGTGTATGCGCATGTTAATTTAAAGGTTCTATGGATATTTTTAAATTGACTTAAATATGTAATGATGTACATAAAAGAAACTAATGATATAATGATTTCTTCTAAGAAATGTTTTTAATGATGGGAAAAGAATCATTTTTTATAATGTACGCTATTTGGATATTACTGAAGTCAAAAAATTATCGTCAAGGATTGAGATTACAAATTGTTTTAGATGCTACAAAGGTAAAACGAAAGCTTTTTTGAATTGATTAAAAAAAATTCAAAAAAATAAAAAAGAAATAGAATTTACAGTAGAATTAAAAGTACAGTTAGAAATCATCTTATCGAAGTGTGAATGGAACAATAGCTCCCTCTACAATTCTTCTTTTACCATAAAACATACTTAATCTTTATGTTAAAGATGACAAGCTTCGTATTTTGGAAGATATATCTTTCCTCCAGATACGGTAAAGCTGAACAAATACAGCGTTTGTCTGTTTAATCCGACTTTTAACCTCATCTGGTGTCGACACGAGTCGATTGCTCCTACTATCTCATCTCCACAGTGGCGCACCCAGAATTTCTGAACCTCCCGATTTCATCGCTCTTCTAATTCCTTCATTCTTCTTCTTTTCAACAATACGTCATTTCCTATGGGGATTTACATTCCCTGGCAGTGGTTTTTCCAATTTTGGAGGGCTGCCTTAATATATAAATAAAACAGTAAGGGTGACATACTGCATCCTTGTTTTAGTCATCATCATCAATGGCGCTACAGCTCTTCGTGAGTCTTTGCCGCGTTTACTATTGCCTTCCATGTTTGTCGGTTTCTTTATATAGTCTCTAAAGGTCTCTATAATACTAGGTCTCTCTGGCGACTTTTTTGTTGTGTTAAACAATCAGATTGTCATTTGCTAACTAGTATGACATCTGGTTTATTATCGATCACTGGTTGACCTGTGAGTACAGCACGGTCCCAATACATCATGTATTCATCGTTATCAAACAGTTTTTTATAAGTAGTTGTAAAACCTGTCTTGTAGGGCTATTATTATAATTATTGACAGGTTTCATTAATTTAAACACTCATTTACGTAAATAACAACTACTATGTATATGGTATTGTTAAAAATTCAATCAAAAAGTAACGTCCAAGGTAAACGTATTGATAAAAATTTAGATCTCCTTGAGTTGACGTGTATTTAAAGTTCTAATAATCTATAAGTTACGTATATGGTTAAGATTTGCATAAACCGATTAGAAATACAACAAATACAACAAAACTTTAAAAGTAATTTGAATATTTTACTACTAATAGAACAATGGGACTAATTAAATACCAATCTTAATTGGTTTTACGTAAACATAAACTTGTGGACAATTAGATAACGACCATAAATTGCCAAAACTTACAAATTAGGTTGATTTAATTTCGATAGTACTTTCTAGATACGCCTTTTTTCCTTATTATTACACGCATACCATTGGAAATACATCTGAATTGTTAATGGTATTTGTACACAATTTGGGTTAACAGATCATCATCATTGCTCTACAGCCTTCGCCAACTTCAGTCCTTCCTTCCTTCCACCCAGATCCGAAATTGTGTTCTTGTGGCATGTCTAAGTTTATTGTCATATTTTGTAACGTTATAAACGTCAGATTTTTGTTATTTTTCTTAAAGAATTATTTTATTTCAATTTCTTTAACTTCTTTAACTTTATCGTTAATTTTACTATTTGTTTACTATTTTAAAGATGTCTGGAATTGTGCAAGCTCCAAAAATACATTGTCCTAGTAAAAAAAAACTAATTGACGAGTACCATAAAAATTTTGTACGCACTACTATTCATTCTTTCTTTTATACAATACAAAAAAGATTTAAAATTTATTTATGATCACTTCGCTCTATTAGAGAAGTTTGTTCTGCTCACAAAAATATTTATTATCTGGACGAAACGTGGGTGAATGCTGGTCACACAGCATCCAAGAGCTGGCAAGATCCTACTGTAACGAGTTATCATCAAGCATTTGTGGACGGTTTATCAACAGGTTTACGAGGACCAACGGGATACAAGGCAACGAGTGACTGTCGCCCATATACTTAGGTAGTGAGAGTGGCTTTTTAGACGATAGTGCACCAAGATTTTTATCCAAAAAACGAAGGATTATCACGAAGACACGGACACCCATGCTTTGAAAAATGGTTTGAATCTCTTCTGTTATGAGTCTAGTAATTCGATAGACACATTAATAGAATCTCTATCAACTATGGCCACCAGAAAAGCAGACATACAAAGTTGGTTAGGACAAACGGACAAATGAAAGGAATTTCGTTTCCCAAGGACATGGTTAAGGCTGAGCTTATAAGTGTCATTAAATAGCATCGTGGCAGATAACTCCAGCATGTTATATATACAACAGCTAGTACTAATGGTATCACCATTTTGAGACTTCCTCCTTACCATTGCGAGTTAAACCGATAGAATTAATTTGGGCTCAAGAAAAGGGTTACGTACCTCGTGAAAACGTGACATAAAATTTCTGATGTCCAACGTTTGTTAGAACTCGCAATAAAACGGATACGGAAAGAAGATTGAACCAAGGCCGTGTGATCATGGATGAAGAGAAAATATGGAGATTTGACAGTATGCCCTAATAACTGGGCATTCCTCTTCAGACGAGTCGCTGGATTATAAAACTTCATAAGCATAACTTAGACAAACATTTCTATACTTGGTTATTCTCCGTCTATACAAATGTAATATAATAGTTATTTTTCATAGTGCATACGATAGAGCGTTACGAAAAATTCTTCGTATATTTTGGCCTAACCGAATCTCCAATGAAAATTTATGAAACCAAAGCAACCAAGAAAATGTCATAAAGCAAATAAGGCGAAGAAAATGGAGATGGCTGGGCCACACACTCCGTAGACCGCCAAATGACATTGCCAGGACAGCGCTGGATTGGAATCCCCAAGGCCGACGGAAAGTAGGCAGACCTAAGGGAACTTGGAGAAGGACAGTACTGGACGAAGGGAGAAAAATGGGAAAATCCTGGCTTGAAATCAAAGCACTAGCCAGAAATAGAGTTCGCTGGAGACACTTTGTGGAAGCCCTATGTTCCTCTTAGGAATCTTGGGACTATATATATAGTGCATACGAAAAAAGAATAGGGCAAATCATGGTTGAATCAGTTCTTTGTTATGGCTCTGAAGTATTGACAATTAATGAAGACCTGAAGAGAAGATTGTTCATAGTTGAAATGGATTTTTTGAGAAGAAGTGCTAGAAGATCAAGGCTGGAAAGGGAGACCAACGAATCTATAAGAAATAACATGAATGCTACAGAAACGGTCATTGACAGAATAGAAAAGTTGGATCCTATAATATATATACTGTGTTTACATAAATATTAAATAATTAAAATATTATTTTGGTACGCCTCTGCAAATTGTTATACTATAATAACTGTTTTAACTACTATTAATCTGTAGATAAAATAAAAACTCACCAACAGTGGTAACAGGACACCTCCTAGGAATTAAACCAAACGAGTATTGGAAGAATCCTCTACCTATAGGAAGAACAGGGGCCAGACCAATATGTTTCCTGAGTTTCTCTTGAAAAACTCTCAGCCAAGATCCTTCAAGTTGGTCGAACAAATCAGTCTCTCCAAAGGAAACCACCGGGACTAATGGAGTACCATTCTTCAGTGCTAACTTAATAAAACCTTTTCTATTCTTCAACATAATTTGGTAATTCCCAGGTTTACAAAAATATGCTTCTACAGCTCCTCCTACCATCAGAGCAACTACGCGGCCTCCTTCAGGTCTACTGAGGACGTAATCGATGGATTTAGATGAAGAAGCTATTCCTCCTAATCCTAAGTAAATTTCCCTGAAAAACGGCATTTGGTAGTGTTGGGACAAAGTTACTATACTGGATTGATGGTTGGGGAAGAGATTTTTGTAGTCACTGAATTCCGTACCGAAATTAAAGGCTCCAGTGGACAGTAACCCATGCGGAAAGATACAAAATAGATAGTTCCTCTTTGGATCTAGTTCGACAGAAGGCACCTTTTCTATTTTGAGAGGAAAATACTCCATCGCGTACTTCCAGATAAGCCATCCTCTCACCCATTTGGAAGGCCGCCCTCCTTTTTCGCTAATACTTGAATCCTTAAGCCATATAAAGCTAAGGTATATCAGTGTTAACCACCACAGTCTTGTAAAGAAGACCAGATAGGCAGCCAAAATTATGCCTATAAATCCTCCAAAGGCCATTGTTACCATCCATATTGCCACGCAAAATGTTTGGATGCGGCGTACCAGCGGAACGTTTAAAGGTGCAAAACGGATGCCAAAAACTTCCATCTGTAAATAGAAAAAATAGGATTTAGAATAGAAATATGATTTATGGTCACTCAAAGTTGTACAATTTTATGGACAAAGCTTACAAAAAGTCAAAAAAATAACAATATCAACAAAAGATAATAAAATATTAAAATCCATTTCAAAATTTAATTAAATGGCAGATTCCATAATAAAACCTTACGAACCAGTTACGAATAAGTTAAACGTAGTGTAATTTCTTAGTTATTCATTAAGAAACTCTTCCAATGAATAATATGGTCTTTCAGATAGATAGGCTTTTGCCAATTTACGGAACTTAAGGAAAGAAGAGATTTAAGTTACAAAGAGAAATGGTTGTATAATTTTTTTGCCCAATATAATATAGATTCATTTAGTAACTATTGGATGGGATCGGTAAACACGCATCAAAGCTTGAACTTCTGGTGGGGTAGTCATGATTAGGTTTTACTGGAAAAATATGTAGGTGTTTACGAATTAAGCAAACAGTTTTTAGATTTTCTAGATGGTCTGGTGTCTTCAATGTGTCTTCAATCTACTGAGGCCAAAAAGATATCGTATTGCTCTCTTTTGTAATTTAAAAATAACATCAGATTGGGCAGCTGTATTAGAACCCCAAAAAGGAAGGCCATATCGAAGATGATACTCAACGAAAGAGAAGTATGCAGAAGCAAGGGTTGAAGAGCTCCTTTATAGGATAATGCTACTGTCTTATTCACGTTAAAAGAGAGTAAATTGGAGTTAGAGCAGGTTTTTATTTTAAGTAGATCAGAAGTTGCAATATTAGAGTTACTCCTGGTATCATCAACAAAAAGAAAAATTTTTCCATTGATTTTTAAGTTAATGATGTCATTTAAAATGATAAGGAAAAGTAGAGGACCCAGTGCCATTTATATTGGAATCAAAGTGCCAAGGTAAGAGTTGACAGCCAGTATACCCAAAATATCAAAATAAAGAAAGGAGTCAGCCAGGTTTGTGTGCTGACACCACTACTTTTCAATATCACTAGTACAGTAAAGCGGTATTTCAAGAAGCGGTCTCAGACTCAATAGAAGGTATATCTATCAATGAAGAAGTTTTGAATAATTTACGTTTTGCAGACGATACAGTAATCATGACGGATAACAACAATGATTTACAGAATGTAATGCAACGCCTTAATGAACGCTGTCATGAGTACGGACTGAACATAAATTTAAAGAAAACTAAATGTATGATCATGACTAAATCTGCACATGCAAATATCCAATTGACTATTGAAGATACTGCAATTGAGGGTGTTAATAACTATAAATACTTAGGAACATGGATAACATCAGATGTAGACCAAACCAAAGAAACTAAGACACGTATTGAAATAGCACGTGCATCATTCATTAAACTTAAAAAGATTCTTTGTTGTGGTATAAGGTTAGAACTACGCCTGAGAATGCTTCGATGTTACGTGTTCTCTACTCTTCTTTATGGTTTGGAAGCGTGGACACTAAAACAAGTCCATCTGAATAAGTTGGCCGCCTTTGAATTTTGGTGTTACAGAAGAATCCTACGAATATCATGGATTCAAGGAATGTCAAACGTGGAAGTAACTAGGAAATGAGGCGAAAATATGATGAGAGGGCAAACATGTGATGAGAGGGCAAAAATACGCATTATTACAACTTATTATGCAAGGTAAAATCCGAGGAAAGCGAAATGTGGGAAGACGAAGAATATCCTGGCTTAAGAACTTAAGGAAATGGTTTGAATGCAGTAATGCAGAACTTTTTAGAGCGGTAGTCAACAAAGACCGCATAGCCATGATGATTTAGAAGATGGAACTTAAAAAAGACTTTTACTCACATGCTTTTATGACCAGAGTCAGTATTATTTATTTTAACTAGTTGTTTCTTATTCCTCAAATAAGATTGGAACCAATTCAAAGAAATACCTCGAATTCCGTAGAAATTTAGTTTTTTTATCAAAATGTCGTGATTTACACAATCAAAAGTTTTAATTGTCACAAAAAAAGCAGCGGCAGTGTAAAGATTATTGTTTAGTGCTTCATAGACCTCATGTAGTACAGAAAAAATAGCATTGCTGGTACATTTGTTAGATAAAAAGCCGAACTGACTTTACAATGTTGTTTTCAACGAGAAAGGACTTTGGAGATTTAATAAACTTTTTATGGATAGTTCATCAGTACTACAGGAAGATTTTGTGTAGCTATACTTAAACTGAACTTGTGTATTGTTAAATTATTAAACTGGAATACAAAAAAAAACAGTAGGAATAGTCTTGTGCGTGTGCAATTTTGTACTGTCACCACGTTTATATTGATAAAAATCAGACAAATGAGTGTAAATCCGTTGCTTACTCGCTTTTGATCGATTCATTAGTGCAGTATGAAATGTATTCAAAACACCTTTTGTTTATTAACTCAAAAAAAAAACAATAAGTTAAACACACTTGAACTTTCCAATGTCAAATACCTTTAATGCGACATAAAATTCAAGATAAGCGCCAAACAAGATTTAACGAAGTCAATAAAAAACATAAAGTGTAAAAATAGAATGGATGTCGTAAGTGTATGCATCGCATATCTTGCAGAACGGTGGAAGCCACAACAAAATTCCGAACAAGACGGATTCGCACACGAGGTCGATGGGATTATTTTCAGGATCTACAATACTTTTACTATATTTGATACACATGTAGTGCAAATATTTGTTTAGTTGTAGTGGAATAGTTACATTATAGGTACAAATACAATGATTGAACAATGATAACCGTAACACTGTGATAACGGTAACTAAATAATTTCTGATAATTTACTACAACCAAAATATTATTAATAATACAGATAATATTACTGATTTGTCCTTGTAGTAAAATATTAAAGTTCTTTTCTTCTTTTACAAATAAAACTGTAAAAATACACAATTTCTAGAAATATTATCAAACACTCTGCAAACCGGCATTAAAACTTTTGTTTTAAGGTTATGTGAAAATCTTCCAAAAGACCATACCAAACTATTTCCACAAGGATTCACGAGATGACTCGGCATGTGTTAGATTCAGATCGAAAAGTGCGTCCATCCAAAATACCCGCCCATCCTATCTAAAAACACACTTTCTTATCTCCAGTACACCTTTATCTGAAAACTCTGAGCTTCCTCGGATCACCCGCGTTTTCTCCTAGTATATGCTCTTAACAATTTTTTTCTCTTGGTGATCTTGTAGCATTTTTTTATCGCCTACACGAATTTTTTTTATTTGACCATATATACTGTATATTTGACCATATTTGTCCACTACGAGTTTTCTTTTTCAACAACTTTTTGAGTACTCTAGTATATCGTTTCACATACTTGCATCTTATAACTCAAGAGCATAATTTCAGATACAGAATCTATCTGAGAATGTCTTTCTTAAATAAATTAGCTTTACTCTCCCCCTCCTCCTCAGTCTTAATCCCTTTTGGGATGTGGTGACACCATTAGGCCTTTACAGTTTTTTTCACGATTTCCCTCCAATCTTCCTTGTCCTGGGTTAATTGTTCGGCTTCATGTAACCCTTGGTTAATCAATATTTTTGTTTGAACGGCTTGGAGATCTTGCCCTAGGTCTCTTTCCTTCAACTCTACCCTCGACTATAAGTTTTTCCATCGTACCTATTCTATCAATGTGGCTATGAGAAACATGAGTGCCCTTACCAGCCTTAGTTTTGTGTGTATTGTTATGCTAGAATTTTTTCAAATTGCTAACAGTTTCATCATGGCTGTTCCCAAGGTTTTGTACTACTTCAAAGACCCCAATTTCTTTAATGTGTTGAAGATTATTCCGAGCTCGGTCTATTATCATTATCTTTGTCTTACTCCTATTTAGCTTTAGTTCATATCTTTCGCTTTTCTCCTCCAGACATCTAATTATGTCTTCCGTTTCTTCTTGATTTGCCGCGATTATTAAAGTGTCATAAGCATATCTCAAGTTACTCATTTTTTGACCTCCTACTGATGTTCCAACCTTCTATCGTTACCTTTGGCATAATGTGTTCGCTGTAGATATTAAACAGAGTCTGGTCTGCGCCAGGAGATTTTCTATTTTTTTTTTTTTTCACTTTTCACCCACAAACTTCTTTCGACAACCAGGGCGTTTGTATATTTTAGCCGGACAGTTTAGATGAATACTCCAGCAATAGTCCACCATCATATTAATGTCCCTACGTCCTTGATAGTGATCATTATCGTAAAATTTGTCAAGGTGGTTATTCAGAAAATAAATCTTCATACTCGTATTACTAGAAAGACTTCACTACAACAGAAAAGAGTCACCACAACATTAACCAAAATATAATAAGATATTTTGGACATATAAATAGTTGAAGAGAAGACACGGAACGAATAATAGTTGTAAGTAACGTAGTGAGCATCCAGAGGAAGATGTCCAGCATGATAATCGAACCAAACAAACGACATAACTGGTTACTTATTCGTCGAAGCACAGGAGAGATAATTGAACAGCAACAGTCAAACTAATTACATGGCGTCATTACATGATTACGAAGGAGAAACTATAGAGGAGGAGAATTCATATTACATCCGAGATCGTGAAGTTTATTAGCCAGTATCTCAAAATTATGAGCTTTTTTGTTAACGGAGGAATTTTGACTATCTATATTTAAACAAGAACCACGCAGACCTTTCAATTATATTTATTTTGATTACAAAAGGGTGTAAAGATAGGTTCACCCACACGTTGTATACTCTGGGTAACGTTAAATGAGCTACCAGATATTGGCAGTCGGACAATCTTCGGATCTCCTGACAATAAGAATCCTAAGCGTAAAAATGCTACCACAGGGTATGAATGGTCTTTGCCAGGACCAGCTGACAAGAAATGTCGGACTGTAGTCCGAATTTTTCATATAAAAATAGAAAGCAGAAGCTATTCCAAAAGCCAATACCTATCAAAAGTTTTAAAAGGTATTGACATCGACCTAGTCGCTATACAGGAAACTTATTGTGA